TGAGTTCAGATCATTTCTTATAATTCATGGTTTTATCTCGATTATTTATTTTTGACCTCGACTCGATCTTGGTAGCTTATTTTTTACCCGTGGTTTTGTTCCAGTCATATGATCTTGGCTCAGTCTATATCATTTCTTATGATTCATGGTTTCATCCCGATCATTTATTTTCGACCTTGACTCAATCTTGGTGTCTTATTTTTGACTCGTGGTTTTGTCTCAGTCATCTGATCTTAGCTCAGTCCAAATCACTTCTTATGATTCGTGGTTTCATCATGATCATTTATTTTTTACCTCGATTCAATCCTAGTCATTTTATTTTGACTTGTGGTTTCATCCCAATCACTTGATATTGGCTCAGTCCAAATCATTTCTTATGATTCATGGTTTTATCCTAATCATTTATTTTCAACCTTGACTCGATCCTAGTCGCTTCATCTTGACTCGTGGTTTAGTCTCGGTCACCTAATGTTGGTCAAGTCTAGGTAATTTTTCAGATTCATAAATTATTTTTTATTCAACGCGAATAGAGTGGGTCTCTAGGTCTTTGCAATATCCTTATCTAATAAAGAAGTGTAAAAAAGAGCAGCTGTAGACACTCATTTGTGTCTGGGCCCAATTAAGCCCATTGGTGTTCGAGCCTAATTAGGCTCATTGGTGTCCGAGCCCATTGATGTCCAAGCCCAACTAGGTCCATTTATGTTTGGGCCTAAGTAGGCGGACTCTTTTTATTAATGTTATTATTATTATTATTATTATTATTATTATTTTGTTTTTATTTTTCTTTCTTTGGTATTTTTGTGTATATATTTATATTATTATTATTATATTATTATTCTTATTTTATTTCCATTTCTTTCTTTCTTTTTCTTTCCTTTTTTTCTTTCCTTTTCTATTCCAATCCACCCGTACACAAAAGATGGAATTGGGATCAGAATCCCTAGGTTAAACACAAAATCGTATCAACTGGAATTTTGGACCCAAAAATCATGTTGGACAAAATGCAATCCCAAGATTCAAGCCTAAGATTGATTTTATCCATTTCCTAAAATTATTCCTAGGATTGCCTATAAATTGGATTGATTCTATAAAAGATAGACACAAAAATTTTGACAAAAAGTTATTGAAAAAATTTGAGAAATTTTGGGCAAAAAAAGTTTTGGGAGTTTAATTTTGGGATTCTGGAGTTCAATATGAAATTGTGGGTTTGATTTTAGGTTTTCAGGTTAGAATTAGGGTTCAAGATGATTATTAGAGGTTTTGGGAGTAATCTAGAAAAATTTGAAGAAATCTAGTTTTTTTTTGGAATTTTTGGGTTTTCTGGTTTTCTTGAAAAACTTTGAATTTTTTGACAAAGGTTGAAGTTTTCGGTGGGATTCTAACAAGATTTCCAGAATACGACATGTTTTCCAAAAATAGATGAGTTTTTCAATTTCATGTTGAATTTTTTGACGACATCCCTAGAAATTGGTGAGATTTTCAATTTTTGGTTGAATTTGCCTGTGAGTTTTTTAGAGAGAAGGTAGAGGTTTTTTTTTGCTAGAGAGAGAAGGAGCAAAAGACATCTGAAGAAAAACACTGAAAAGTGCCATTTATGCTAACCCAGAACGACATCATTTTGTAAAGCCTTGACCCGTGTGTGACCCGACAAGGATCCATGCGTTAACCTTGGTTCTGACCCGAACTGATCACAAGTTTTTCTTTTTCCATTTTATTTTTATTTTTTGATTTTATTTTATTTTAACTCATTTTATTTCCCTTATTTTATATATATATATTTTTCGGTTGTCTTTTTAAAAAAAATGTTATTTTTGCCATTTTATTTTTAAAAGTAAAAAAAAAGAAAGAAAAATAATTTGCCAAGTAATAATAATAATAATAAAATCCTTTCAACAAAAATAAAAAATATTTTCAAATAAACAAAAAAACTTTTATCCTTTAAACTATTGGGGGATTGCTTGGAAGTAAGCCTTACCAAACTATTTGGAGGCTTTGCTAATTTTTTCACAATAAAATAAATCAATAAATCCAATGACAGAGCCTCTTCAGAATTGTACACCAGTCTCTATGAATAATCCTAAGATGAGAAGATTATCTTAAATTGCTACCAAACTATTGGAAGAATTTTAAGATTAATTTTCAATATTAAAATTCTTTGGTAAATCATAAAAATGATCAAGGCTTGAATAATTTGAAATCAAACAGGTACCATTCTTTGGATAGGCACTATGGGGTGCTACAACCTTTCTCATACATAACTGACTCCTGAACGTAACGTCCTTTTTCATAGATCATGATATGTTTTAGGTGATCAATCACATCTAAACAAAAAAGATTGGTGGCGAATCCCTTCTAATTCATATCTAGCGGTAGGTCTACGGATTTATACGTTATGACGGTTATCCTTGAAGCTCTTGGCCAACTAAAGAATCTTACCACTTTTGTCGTGGCATTGAATAAAATGTGTGGTATTGCTCCTTCCTCACTCTTTAATCTCTCTAATATCAAAACTCTTGATATTGGGGAAAATAATTATCACGCCCCGAGACCAAAATGTAACACAGTCATATTACTTTGAAGTAAATCCCAAAGTAATACAAAGCCTAAGTGTAATCCATAACCATTAAAAATTTCTCAAATAAAATAAGGTTCTCAAGTGAAATATCTAAATAACAAGTCTCCAGAGATTCAAAGTCAAGTATTAAAACTAAAAGAAACAATACTTCATAAAATCCAATTTCCTAAGTAGTTCTCCAATGCTCGATTCTTCTAGCTCTTCACAAGACTAATCATACTTATCATTTATATCATCTGTAAAAGAAAAGAAAATAGGAAATGAGCAAACTATAACTCAGTAAGTATAGGCTCACACACCTTACCGGATCAAATATCATTTTCATATGTACTATATAAATCATTCCAAAAAATCTATCAACTCATAATGTCAAAAATAGTTCAAAAATTAGCATTCTATCAAGTATTCATAGTTCATAAATCAATATCAAAACATGTCACCAAATCATGGATCAATTTATAAAAATCATTTATTACAAATCATCATTATCATTCATTTATCGTTAGCTACAATCATTGCTATAACCCGTGACATTGGTCGTATCGATAATTTCATCCTCATGATCATTGCTAACTATTATAACCTGCTAGTCAAGGCCTTACGGTAACTAGTATTACCCATTAGAAGGTCGTATGATCATGTCTATGCTAACTACTATAATCTATTAACCAGGGCCATGGAACTAGTTCTGGTGTCGATGATCCCATTTTTTAGGGATGTAAAAACGTAGTCATCATAAAATTATTCTTTAAACATAAATCATTTTCTCATTTCATTCATAAGCATGATCCATTATTTACATAGAGAAACATAAAATAATAATATGTTTGATCCTATTCTCATTCATCAAAAATAATGAAATAAAACATTTATTCATTTAAAAACATACATATATACATAGATTCAATAATAAGCAAAGTGTGTGAGATTCTACTTAATTCCTTCCGATTCCACCACTTAGTTTTTTTCTCCAAATAATTAATGGCCTATTCAAGATAATTTCAACATAATAGTAATTAATCAACCTATTTGACACCACTTATATCATAACAACAAAGTTAAACAAGAATTAACTCAAGTAATTAATTTTGGTAGCCTACACTACTTTCACTAAAATGACCCTATCTCAAGATATCCAACTCAGAATTAAAATATTTTTAATGGGTTAGAAACTAGACTCGATAAGCTTTCTAACCATATATAGCTCATCTCGTGATTCCTTGTGGATTAATTATAACAAATTTTAAAATCCACGTCAGATACTACTTCCAGATAGCCTATATAGCTTCTAATAAAAATTTCTCATTTATTCATAGTAAACTCCAAATTCAATTATGCTTGTTTTGTTGGAAAGTAAACTCAATAAGCTTTCCAAACATATATGGCTTAATCTATGAATCCTTGTATAAAAATTAAGAAGAATTTTGTAATTCCTCCTTGCGGCTGCTATTAGGCAACCTGTATATCCTTAAGTAAACATTAAAACTACTCTTTATAGAAAATTCAAAATTGACTTCCATTTATTTCATTGGAAAGTAAATTCAGCAAGCTTTTCAACGATATATAATAATCATTACAGTATTTAATCCTTTAATAGAAAATATAACCTTAATCCATCACTGCAAACACTAGGGTTTATATCAGGATTCATACGAAACAAAAATTTTTCTTTTTATTCTCATTAAATTTTTGTTTTTTATTTTTATAGCAATAAAATCACATTACCAACTTTCTCAACATTTAATTAGACTCTAATTAAAGTCTAACTAATTTGCCCAAACTAATCTTGGAGAGGGATAATGGAAATTTTAAGGTTTCTCAATTATAAATTACACTTAAAGACTTAACAATCAATACTTCAAAATTGAAAGAAATTATTTACTCACCTCTGATAGACAATTCTCCCTACAAATTTTGTTGTTACCCTTCACTTGGAACCCTTCGATTTATCTTTTCTATATAAGTAACATAGGAGAAATAAACTTGTATTTTTCTGTTGATTAGTCGTCAATTGAAAATTGAATAAGTTAACCCCATTAAAAAAATTGGGTTATTTATCAATAGATCCTTTGCATTTCTCATGCCTTATTAAAAGAGTCCTTTCACTTATTAAAATACTTAAAATAGTCCTTTTTTTTTTCTTTACGGGTATTACAATAACTTTCATGGTAGTCTTCCCTCACAATTGGGAGTCAACATGCCATATCTTGAAGTGTTTTCTGCTAGCTTCAACCAACTCAATGGACCATTTCCTCTTTCAATAACCAATGCCTCTAACCTCATCCAGCTTATGGTCTTGGGAAACAAATTTACTGGAAAGATGTCTTCATTCCGAAAGCTAGAAAAGTTGAAATTTTGAATATTGCTGACAATCTTCTTGGTAGTTAGGGAGCAAATGACTTAAACTTTCTCTGCTCGTTAATAGTGACACCAGCTTGGAATTTTTGGATATCACTGACAACAGCTTTGGAGGGATATTACCTGAGTGCATAAGCAATTTGTCAACTGCTATCACCATTTTTGCTGTGGAAGGCAATAACATAGTGGGGAGAATACCAGCAGGATTTGGAAATCTAATCAACTTGGAGGTGCTGGTGGCAGGAGAAAGTCAATTATCAGGTTCCATTCCATCTGTGATTGGCAGGCTTCAAAAGCTAAAATTATTTGATGTAAGTATTAATTCTATCTCTGGATCCATCCCCGCTTCATTGGGAAATTTAAAGATGTTGATCAAGTTGAGTCTAAATAACAACAATCTTCAAGGTGAGATTCCTTCAAGTCTAGGCAAATGTCAAAATCTGATTTTATTAGATCTTTCTAATAACAATCTCAGTGGTCCTATACCTTCCCAAATAGCTAAACTATCATCCTTGTCTATCGGTCTATCCTTATCTTCGAACTGTTTGACTGGCGTGCTTCCCCTTGAAATAGGAAATTTAATAAATCTTAGTGAATTAGATGTTTCTCAAAACATGTTATCAGTTGTCATTCCAAATGATCTTGGTAATTGTGTAAGGCTGGAGGTACTACTGATGAGAGGCATTTTCTTCAATGGATCAATTCCTTCATCTTTGAGTTCATTGAGAGGTCTTACAAATTTAGACCTTTCTAGAAACAATCTCACTGGTAAAATTCCTGAATTTCTTGTGACATTTGGGGCTTTACACTACTTGAATCTTTCTTACAACAATTTCGAAGGTCTAGTACCAGTTGCTGGAGTCTTTAAAAATTTAAGTGCTGCATTCCTTGAAGGGAACAGTAAGCTTTGTGGAGGCACTCCTGAGTTCCACTTGCCAACTTGTTATTACTGGAAACAACATAGAGGGAGATCAACCATTTCAGTTAAATCAATAATTGCTATTGGAGTTATTTTGGTTTTCTCCCTCATGTTTCTCTTTTGGTTTAGAAAGAAAAGAAAGCAACCTGCATAACCAAATACAGAAAATCCATTGTTAAGGTTATCGTATCAAAGCATCTTAAAAGCTACTAATGGTTTCTCATCAGCAAATTTAGTAGGCACAGGTAGCTTTGGTTTCGTATATAAAGGAATTCTTGAAGAGAATGGAACAATTATTGCTGTCAAGGTACTTAAAATTTTGATTCATGGAGCTTCCAGGAGTTTCTTGGCTGAATGTGAGGCCTTAAAGAATGTTAGACATCGAAACCTTGTCAAGGTATTAACAGCATGTTCTGGTGTGGACTTTCAAGGCACTGATTTTAAGGCTCTTGTTTATGAATTCATGGCTAATGGAAGCCTAGAGGATTGGCAACATCCACCTGTTGGCATGAATGAAGGAGAGGAGGCAGCAAAAAGCTTGAATTTTTTTCAGAGATTGAATGTGGCAGTTGATGTTGGTTGCGCATTGGAGTATCTTCATCATCACTGCGAAACACCAATTGTTCACTGTGATCTCAAACCAAGCAATATTCTACTTGATGATGAAATGGTTGGCCATGTAGGTGACTTTGGCCTAGCAAAATTCATTCCATCAGACATACAAAATAACACTTCAAGCCAGTCAAGCTCTCTTGGGTTCAGAGGAACAATTGGTTATGCCCCGCCAGGTAAGTGGACTACTACATATTTGTAGAGAATGCATTCTTTCAAATAGATATGTTACTTAATTTAACAAATTAATATCTTTGATGCGAGAAAGCTATTTGCATCTGTTTTGAAATTGTTGCTCTTAGTTCTGACAAATGAATTGCAGAATATGGCTTGGGATGTAATGTGACATCATATGGAGATGTGTACAGCTATGGCATTCTTTTGCTCGAGTTGTTTACAGGGAGAAGACCCACTGATGAAATGTTTAAAGAGAACGTGAGCCTTCATAACTTTGTTAAAACAGCTTTGCCAAATCGAGTGGTTGAGATTACAGATCCCACTCGTCTTCAACAAAGTTTCGGAGGAGAAACAATGATGAACAATACTTTAAATGACAGCAGCCAAAAAGAAAACAGACTTCTTCAGAGCTTGAATTCGATATTTGAAATTGGAATTGCCTGTTCTTTTGAATTGCCAACTGAAAGAATGAACATGGCTAATGTTGTTGCTGAGCTTTGTTCTATAAGAGACAAGCTGCTTCCAACTCGATCATTAAGAACAAGAGGTACTAATATTGGTTTAAATCTAAGTAACAATAACATTTACTTTGTTATACATTTTTATCAAATTTTACATTCTTTGCATTATTCTCTGCAGCTGCAGGTACTGCTTTAAAGGGAATCTGAACCTTCATAACTTTGTTAAAATAGCTTTGCCAAATCGAGTGGCTGAGATTACAGATCCCACTCTTTTTCAACAAGGTTTTGGAGGAGAAACAGTGATGAACAATACTTTCAATGAGAGTAGCCAAAAAGATACCAGACTTCTTCGGAGCTTGAATTCCATATTTGTAATTGGAATTGCCTGTTCTTTTGAATTGCCAACTGAAAGAATGAACATGGCTAATGTCATGCCCCAAAATCGAAACATAACACGACCCTATTACCTTGAAGTAAACCCCAAAGTAATATGAAGCCTTTTTTCTTAATCATTCTAAAATTCTTCAATAAACTGATATAGTCTGTCAAGTAAAATCTATATCTTTAATCTAACTAATAATATATTTTTATATATCCAAATACAAACCATATAAAAAATACAAAATCGTTTCATAAGATCTCATTGGCCATCATTGTCTCTATCGACTAAGTAATAATCTTTCTCATTTGATCTTCTAGCTTTTCACAAAACTAAACAAACTTATCACTTACTCATCTGTAAAGAAAAAGTAAAAAGAGAATGAGCAAACCATAACTCAATAAATATAGGCTCACACACCTTACCGAATCAAGCATCTTTTTCATACATATTGTATAGATCATTCAAAACATTCATCAAATCATAATGTCAAAATATTTCAAAGATCATTGCTCGGTCAAACATTTCATAAATTCATAAATCAATGTCAAAATATGTCACTTCATAAATCATTGCAAAATATGCTATCATTCAAATATCTTAATTAAACCAAATTATGGATCAATCATTAAAAATCATCGTAGATTATCATTATCATAAATCATCATTATCATTTATTTATTGTTAGCTACAATCACTACTATAACCTGTGACATTGGCTGTATCGATAATTGCATCCTTATGATCATTGCTAACTATTATAACCTGCTAGTCAAGGCCTTATGCTAACTACTATAACTTATTAGTAGGGCCGTATAATCATGTCTATGCTAACTACTATAACCCGTTAGCCAGGGCCATAGAACTAGTTCTGGTGTTGATGATCCCACTTATCAGTGATGTAAAAACGTAGCTATCATAAAATTGTTCTTTAAACATAAATCATTTTCTCATTTCATTCACAAACATGATCCATCATTTACATAGCAAAAACACAAAATAATCATATACTTGATCCTATTTTCATATATCGAAAATAAAGAAATAAAACATTTACTCATTTGGAAATATGCATATATACATAGGTTCAAAAACAAGTAAAGTGTATGAGATTCTACTTACCTCCTTTCGATTCCACTATTTATTTTTTCCCCCAAAATAACTAATGGCCTATTCAAGATAATTTCAACATAATAGAAATTAATCAACCCATTTTCAAGACCAATTATACCAAAAATAATTAAGTTAAACAAGAATTAACTCGAGTAACTAATTTTGACAGCCTGCACTACTTTCACTTAAACAACCATATCTCAAGATATCCAACTCAGAATTAAAATCCTTTTAATGCATTAGAAACTTGACTCGATAAGGTTTCTAACTATAACCATCTCATGATTCCTTGTGGATTAATTATAACAATTTTTACAATCCACATCAGATGCTACTGCTAGATAGCATGTATACTTTCTAATAAAAATTACACATTTATTCATAAGAAACTTCAAATTCAATTTTGCTTCTTTTGTTGGAAAGTAGACCCAATAAGCTTTCTAAACATATATGGCTTAATCTGTAAATCTTTGTATAAAAATTAAGAGGAATTTTCATAATTCAACCCTGATGCTATTGCCTTACAACTTGCATATCCTTAAGTAAAAATTAGACAACTCTTCATAGAAAACTCGGATTCAACTTCTGTTTGTTTCATTTGAAAGTAGACTCAACAAGCTTTCCAACAATAAATAATGATCATGCAGTGTTTAATCTTTTAATATAGAATATAACCTTAATGCATCACTGTAAATATCAGGGTTCATACAAAACAAAAAATTTTCTTTCTATTCCCATCAAATTTCTGTTTTCTATTTTTACAGCAATAAAATCACATTACCAACTTTCTCAATACTTAATTAGATCCTAATTAAAGTCCAAACTAGTCTTGAAGAAGGATAATGGAAATCCTAAAATTTTAGGGTTTCTTGATTACAAATTATACCTCAAGACCTAACAATTAACACTTAAAAATTGAATTAAATTATTTACTCACCTCTGATAAACAATTCTTCTAGTAGAATTTGTTGTTACCCTTCACTTAGAATCTTTGGATTTGTCTTTTCTGTATAAGAAATAGAGGAGAAATAAGCCCTTTTTTTTTCTTTGGATTAGTCATTGACCTGTAGAATAAGTTAACCCTATTGAAAATTTTAGGTTATTTATCAATAGGTCCTCTGCATTTTCCATTCTTTAATAAAAAGTCCCTCCACTTATAAAAATACTTAAAATAATCCCTTTTTTTTAACAGGTATTACATTCTTCCCAACTTATAAAAAGTTTTATCATCGAAACTTGATTTACCTTCATTTTTGAATAACTGAGGATATCATTTCTTCATATCATCATCTATTTCCCAAATTGCTTCTCTTGGTGTATGATTGCTCCATTGAACTTTTATAAAGGGAATAGTGCTATGCCTCAAGACTTGTTCTTTCTAATCAACTATTTGGATAGGATATTCCAAATATGTTAAATCTTCTTGAACTTCGAAAGGTTCATACTCTACCGCATGGTTTAGGTTAGGACATATTTTCTCAACATGGACACATGAAAAACATTGTGCACACTAAATAGCTGAGGTGGCAAGGCTATCCTGTATGCAACTTCTTCGACCTTATCAAGAATTTCAAGTAGTCTTATATAATGTAGGCTTAACTTTCCTTGCTTCCCAAATCACATAACACCTTTTAATGGGTAACACCTTTAAAAAGACATAGTCCCTTTGTTGAAATTCTAACTCCTTTCTCTTTTTGTCTACCTAACTCTTTTAATGATCTTATGTTGATTTAAGTCTCTTCGTTTGCCCATCTAAGGGTTAAAAGCTGTACTCAATTTTAAATTTGTCCTCATAGCTCGTTGTAAACTTACCCAAAATTTAGTGACAAATCTAGAATCTTTATCCGAAACAATACTTACTAGATTCCATGCAATCAGATAATTTCATCCATGTATAATTGTGTTAGTTTATCAAATGGAGCAATCGACTTGATAGGTAGAAAATAAGCTGATTTAGTGAGTCTATCAACAACTACCCATACTGCATTATTCCCTTTTGATGACCTAAGTAAACCAATCACATAATCTATAGAGATGTGCTCCCATTTCCATTTCAGTATCTTCAAAGGTTACAACAACCTTGATAGTCTTTGGTGTTTAGCCTTAACTTGCTGACACACTAGATATTGGAACACAAACTGAGTTATTTCCCTTTTCATGTTATTCCAATAAAAACTTTCTTTCAAATCCTTATATATCTTAGTGCCTTCGAATGTATAGTGAATCGAGACCCATATGCTTCCTTCAAGATCTCTCATTTCAGCTCAAAATTATTTGGTACACACAATATGTTCCCAAAGCCTAATGTGCCATCCTTGTGGAGCTTAAACTCTGTCCGTAAACCATTCCTTAATGAACTAAAATTTATTAGCCATTTGATCCATAAATTTAAGAAATAAGTTTCTTCTTACTCATTCTTATCCCAATAAGTTTGAGATTTAGATCTATTTCCATACAAAACCTTAAAATGAATCATTGAATGTTTGCCTTATGACTATTGCTATAAAAAGTTTCTCTCTTCAAGTCATGACTTAAGCATTGCTTAGAAGAATGTCTACCATCGATAAAACCTCCAAAACTAGAAGGAACACAAAATATTCTTATCCAAAATATTGATAAAAAAAATCCATTAATCTCATTTATTAAAGATTCATCACTTTTTTGACTAATAATAGCCCAAGAATTTCTAACTTAAACTAAATCAAGCTTTCATTGCATGCTCTGATATTTCAATCTAGTAAAACTCTAAAATAACAAATTAACTTTTCTAACATGTCTCATAACAAGAAAAACATATGTCCACAAAATTTCATGTAATTTGCTTTACGCCAGATATTCATAACCATATACAACCTTAAAGTTGAATAATAATAATATCAATAAATCCTTTAGTTACCAAAAAGATATCATATAGTACTTTAATTTTCCTTTTTTCTCCATTGACAGTATGAAATTTTCTATCAATTAACTATTATAAAACACGTGAAATCGATGCAATAGATCATATCCATAAATTTATACTATGTAAATTCAAATGTAAATCTTTGGTTACCTAAGTTGTCTCTAATTTCAAATATTGATCTTTCTAATTTAATAGACCAATTATCATATAACAATTGATTCTTCATAATCCCCCCAAATATCATAATGTCTCAAATTTTTCTTTTACCAAATATATTGCTATCATCTCCAAGTCAAAGTCAAAACCTATGCATCATAATCCTTAAGTAAAATTCTCTTATATAATTTAAATAATAAAAACTCCAAATACTTGAATTCATGCCAAAAGTATGGTTATAAACAATAACTAAATATATCACATTATTTCAAAAATTTTCCCAAATTTCTCTAAATCAAGTACATACTCAGTATCACCAAGTACACAAAATTATCACTAATTATTAAAACCTAATCATAAAATTAACAATTATTTGCACTTGTAAGATTTCAAACAATCATTAACCAAAACATATATATTTTTCTGTAGATTGATTACTCCTTAAAAAACAACTGCTTTGCTAAATCATCTAGATAAGTACATAGCCTTGTACCACAATTGACAATAATCTCCATAAATATAAAATTCAAAGGAATCCAATAGTATACTTAAATTAGAAACTATAACCACAAATTAACCATTTAGCCATAAAAAAAATCAGTATACCCCAAATAGGAATTTAATGATCAAACTTCAAATTAACTACACAAATGTCTAACTCACATGATCAAACCTTAAATACTTTCTCAATAAAAATGTAGAATCAAATCAAGTGAATATCCTTCTTTATGTATATTAGACTATTTACCACAATTATCATATTTTGGACTAAATCCATCAAGACAAATTCTCAAAGATTATAACCCATAAATAATTACTCCAAAATTTTAAAACATCATTTCATTCAAACTCTAATATTCTATACTTTTAACTCCAACAATGTACACTCCTATTCTAATCTTAATCCATGATCAAGGATTCACTTAACACCTATCAAATAATTT